ATAAGTAATACAATCAGCTTATAACAATTGGATAAACAAAAGACGTAAGAACACTTTTCGCGATTGGTTTGTTTTCACGCCAACTTCTGTAATCTAACGAAGCGGTATCGACGCCATCTTGGTTTGTCAAAATTGAGATAGGTGGCGCTCGCTATCTACTCCTGAATCAGGGGGAGGTAAGTCTAGATTGACGTGTCATAAAATTGGTAAGGCAAAGAGGGAGTTGCTAATCCCCTTCACTATACGTCCCTGGTTTCGTGAATACATGTCCCGCCGTGGTTCATGCGAATAAAATGTTTAGTAGCAAGAGATTTGTTTGAGTATTTCTGTGATCGTATTTTGTGTTACTGTAATTCTCAAACTTGTTAAAAAAACTCCAATGGAAATTTGATTAAATAAAACTTAGAGAGCAGTTCGGAGCAGACTTTACTGACTTTAGACGGTCTCCTGGACATGGCTATATTTAATGGTAAATAAACCGAAAACGGTGAGATTTCACAATCATTCTCAATGAAATTAATTCAATGTAAATCAGTTTCGTTGTACATGTTCCCGTATGTTGATTAAACACCAATCCCAGACTTTTACCTGGCGGTAGCGAAGTTTTGCCTACAGCGCAGTTGTAAACATTGCGTGGCCGCGGCGACGGACTTGTCTATGACTAATTTGAGAAAGGATTTTACTGTGTTTCATTTCCCAATCACTCTGATTAATGCATATTGACAAATTACTTCACAATAGTTATTTATTTTCAAAAGTTATTAAGTTGATGATAGTTTAGAGGCCGTCATTTTGGGGCTTTGTCAAATCCGCCTATTCTAAAAATAGAATTCCCGGGTAATACTAACTACAGCCTCGTAAATCCCGGTAAAGAATTGAACCAACATGACCCTTTTCGTAATGTCAGATATCTAGATTTCTATTTCATATATACATGGAGCTTTATCATTGGTGTATACATTCAAATTAACAGACACTATTTATACATCTTGCGGAAATTGTTTATCCTGCCTCTGATAACAGGGACTTATATTAATTGGGTCTGCTATTGCCAATCTTTGGTTTCCTATATATAGCTACAATGCAGAGCTCTATCATTCTATGCCAGACAAAGATCTACATTCAAAATATTGCAAATGTAATACAGATAAAGTGATAATTGTTCATTATTATTATGAAATACTATATATTGAATTTTAAAGTGCATTTGTTGTTTGAAAAACCGTAAGAAATCTGATAACTATATGCAGGAACTTATTTCACATGGCATTGTATTTAATCAAATGCATCCCTTTCTTTTTAAGGAATAAGCTTAATGATTGTGTAGACATGGTTTCAATGTGGTTCCAGCTTTGATGAATGAATTGATTGTGGTTTTAACATTGATGAATAATTGAAAGGTTATTTAGTCATTGACGCTAATTATTTGTTTTGTAATAAATGGAAGAGAATGCTTGGGTGTTGATATAAAAAATAAATAAATAAATAAAAATACAGCCTTATTAACGGACGAATTTGGCATATACTGAATGCACCCTTCTCCGCCCCAACCCCAACAACAAGAAATACAATAAAAGTAAATTGAAAAAATCTTTCATTTGCCATGTAATGTAAAAAGCAATATGAATTGAAAATGAATAGTCACAGTTTGTCATGTCTACATTACAAAATTAATACAACAATGAGTGGAAATGAGCCCTGTTGTCCTATAGTAATCACCCAAACCATGTTAACTTGGTAGTTGTGGAGTATCATATAGCTCCTTGTTTCCACCTCAATAATGACAGACAGACAGACAGGCATTTTCCTATTATCGTATACGTGCATATGTGTGTTCAATGTTTTGTCAATTTCTTTTCGACAGTGGCATTTGCCTCAGACTTCGGAAAAATAGTAACTTTATTTTGAGAAAAGAAAGTGATTTTTTGCAATTTTTCAATAACAGATTTTGGGAAAATACAGCAGAAAATATCTTAGAGGGGGGAGGGGTGGAGG